AAAATCTTGTCGAAACAGAGGAAATTTTCTCCTTTTCTGCTTCTCAGAATTCCTTCAGAATTTTTGAATGTTGCTATCATTTTTAAAGCATCAAAATCTCAAGGGAATCCCATGCAGCATTTGAAATTAATAAATAATAGATAATAAAAAGAAGTTCTAAAAATATTAAATGAATATGACTAACCAATATGACTAATAAGCATTCTAACAAAATATAATAGGTTTTGAAAGCTTCGTAACTTTTTAACAGATTTGAGCAAGAAAAATGTTTTTCTCTCTCGTTAAAAGATCAAAACATTTTGTTCTTGTATCATTTTTTGTTTTATCGTAACTTCACCCTATGTGAAAAAAAAGAAGAAAAAATGTAGAAGGTATATAGAATAACTTATTTTCCTTGAAAAAGTATGACAAATAGAGGAAAGGGGGAGTTTCGATAAGGCGGTTTTTCGGCCCCTCAAGAAAAATAATGAAATTGTGATATGTTGTAGATAAAAGCGTTATCTTCCTTAAAATATGAAAAAAAAAAAATTATACTGCACTTTTTCTGGTCACGTGATAATTAAAAATTTAAGTATACCCTCTTCCCTATATTTTTGGAGGGGTGATATTTAAAAGGGGTAATGGAGTTTATTTAACGTCAAAATCATAAATGAAATATTACGAATGTGAATAAAAACATCAAATAACCAATTTCATTATATGAATTTACAGAAAATTAATGATATTTATTTTATTTGAATGCGTTTTAAGGTGCAAGATTTTTCTCGTGTTTTAATTGTAACTCTTCTTTCAAAGAGGATGAATGTAACATATAAAACGTATATGAATAATAAAGACAGGAATTTTCAAAAAATGAATTAATCGACAGTTTATACTTAGACTGAATAACCAACATTTAACATTTTCCCGTACGTAGAAAGGCAAATGTAAAGGAATATAGACAAGAGATAGATAAACTTAAACTGTCATTGACAGGTGTTTGACACTGCTTGCAACGCATTTTTATCAACTAAAGTTATTGTGCTAAATATAGTATTAATAAAATGTACAGTAATTTCATTAAATTGAATTTAAAAAAAAAATCTTGAAATTAACAGATTTATTTCGGAATTCGGTACGATTAAAAAATGCAGCTATTTGTATTTTTAAAGTATATTTAAAAGAATCATACTGCAATGTACATTGTATTTAATAATACCAGTCAAAATATTTTATCAAGATAGTAATTATTAGTCCCATGCCGGTGAAGCCGGAGGGGTCTATAAGTTTCCGCATCGTCTGTCCGCCTGTTTGTCCGTCCGTCTTTCTGTCTATCTGTCAGTCTGTTCCACTTAGTTTTTTGCACTTTTCTCTAAACGCTTGCAGATATTGAGCTGGTTTTGGTATTTATAGTGTATCCTGATGAGAAACAGAGTTTGAAATTCAAGTTTGAATTTCGTTAAATTCTGCCTCATTGATTTTTGACGGAATATTACAAATTCAAAAAAAAAGGGGGGGGGGGGGTCGGCGTTTTTTGTTTTGTTTTGTTTTTTTTTTTTTTTTAAATCGCATATATTGAGCTGATTTTTGTTTTGGTATATGTGTTAAACTTGGGTTATAGATCAAGTTTGCATTTTCTTTCGCTTCAATGATTTTTTTAAATAGGGCATTTTCAATTTTTTATGGAAACCAGGTTATACTTGGTGTGCCGATAGTGGACTATTATTGCTACATGTAATGCAGTGCTTACAGAATGTATGAATAAATAGCCAAATGATAAAAAAAAACTAAAATACATTGAGTGCATGTCTTCTATTCATTCTTAAACTTAAAAGTATTTACGCACATAAAGAGGTGCATTATGTTTTCAGCAAAAATGAGACAATCCAGGCAAGCGAGGACCTACATGTAATTCCTCGCGCTTCCCAACTACCTTTTGATGCTTTTGTTGTTTTACCAACTCTAGTCACTATTTGATTTTTTAGACCATAGCCGCAATTTGTAAATACCAAATGTACATGTTAAATCATATCCTGCAGAAACGTACAAATCAACATCAACATCCAGTCTTAAAAGTAATCTACGCTCCGTACATATAGACCACACGGAAATATATGTGAGCCTTCTCTAACAGATTGAAGCGATGAGAATTTCTATTCAAAGGAATGGCTATAACCATATCCATGATAAAGAACGTTAATGAATGGACTAATTCTTAAACTTCTCTTTAGTTCAGTCAATCATTCGGAAAATGTAAAATCCGGCATCTGTTACAGTTCTGGTAATGTCTAACCCTAAATGCATCATCGGTGCATACTTCTTCTAGATAGGGATTATAGTTACATGAAAATGAGACATGTTCCAAAATATATACCCTGAGCATTCATCAAGAAATGTAAGTCAGATCTAGCATCTGAAGGAAGTCTGAAAGTGTGCATCCGAAGATGCATCATGAAGCACGTCTTCTCAACAAGTGCTTATGGCTGCACTGCTCCATAAACATTAACCTGCTTTAAAAACATTAACCTGGACATTCTTTAACTGAAAATGCAGCATCTAAAACCCTACAGATGACAAGAAAACACACTAAATCAGGCGACTCTGATGATATGAAAAAAAATGATTAAAACTTTTAATAACCTATACGCCTATAACGATGGTATTACAAAAACTCCCCCAATTTCGTGTAGGTGAGCTAAATATGTGACGTTAACGTTATACGCGAGCGACGAAATAAGTAGGGAAATAACTATAGGATACGATTATGTTTTCTTATTTAATATTTTCGAGAGTTCTCTTTGGTTTAGTAAAAATATTCTACTTTTGGCTTAGTATTTTAACACGGTGTCAGAACAAGTAACCAGGAGTTTCTAATTTTAGATATGTAAATTTTAGACAATTTTCAATTTTTGGATATGAAGTGCACACGCGACACTCATCATATTTTAAGATATTAGTGTGCAGAGTATATCTAATTACTGAGCAAAACTAGGTGAGTGTCCCTCATGCACTTCATATTCTAACCATCGATTTATAAATGCCACCCTCTTATATTTTCCCATTAGCCTAATGTTAAAGCATTTGAGGGTACATCTAAGAATGTGCCAACTACGGCGTGAATTCATCTCATATAAACTCTTTAAATATAAATAACAAAAATTAACATATATTTCTTGAATTCTAAACCAATTTTGAAAAAATAAAACGAAATTTATTTTTATGAAAATAAGTGGGCCGATAAGCGGCCTTATCGAAATTCCCCCTTTGGGTAAACCTATTTCTATTTTAGCTAAATTTATTTTTATCCAATTTCTGGAGCATCATCTGATAGACTGTATATCTTATCTTTGTATGCCAAAAGAATATTTTATTTTTGGAAATAAAAGTAGGCATCATATGATTGACAACAGCAATTTTCGAGTTTTAATGTCAAGGAAAAAGAAATGACCTTGACCTAGTCTTGCTTCTAACATAAATGGATCAAATTTAATCTTAAATGTATTAATACCATCACTTCTGATTTTGAGTTATTGTTTTCTTGAAACATTGAAAATTTCATTATTCTTTTAATACAATAACTATGAGAAGGGTCCCTCCTCGTTTACCGCCAAAGGGGTATAACATTTGTATACGAAAAGGTATGCTTTTACACATTATTAAACGGAATTATTAACATGTGAGGGAATTTAATATTATATAAGCAGCAAATGAAGAATACATTTAAAAAAAAAATATTCTTGTAGATGAGATTTGCATTCAAAATATTTCTCGTATTGTCCTTTCATTACCTATTCCAAGCATATAATATAATTTTATTTTTAAGATATATTGTTCGGTTGCGATCTTCAGTAAAAGAATCCGAAATGTTCCCATTTTCATTTATTTTCGTCATGCATAATTATCATATTCTTTTGAGAATTCAATATCATTAATCAGTTAATGTTCAGTATGACTTATGATCTCAAGATAAAATAGAAAAAAAAAATGTATCTATAGATATGTTAGTATTGATGCATAAAAAGGTTGATTTTGATCTATGATGTACTGATTATTGGACATCATATTGATCTACATTTCCAAGCTTTCTGGGAAGACCTAAACATGTCATTACATGTTTTTCTTCTGTAGACGAAGCCAAAAGGCAATATAAAATTTAAAGTAAAGATTTACAAGTTATATGTGTGCCTTCATGTCAGTATAAGTACTATCCATGATGCATACGAAACTTTTTATTTAAACACTCCCTATTTCAGATCTATTAATTCTTTTTTTTTGGGGGGGGGGGGTTTAAAAAGAATTTATGTACGAGTGTTTTTTTTTTTTAATCTTTAAACGTAGAAATATGAAAACGATAGAATATAAAAATAATCAATAAAACTATCGTACTAGATTAATTTTTAGGCTTAACTCGTTAGAAAACAAATCAAAATTGCGTACAAGGTTATCAAAGTTATTAATCATAAACGGATATAGAGGCAAGTGCATGCATGCCGTCACATCTTCCAAAATATGTCAATTTTTTAAATACAAAGCTGCTTACAAAATCAATACAATCTGACTCATATTTTAAGCGAAACCATTCTCAATGACGTAAAAAAGAACTATCAGTCTAAAAGAAAAAAATAGTGTTTCGCGAGTATTTTCAAAAGCATTGTGCTTATAGCAAAGATATATGCAATCATACAGAATTGAGATGATCATGGAGAAAACTCATATCTGGTTACCTTCTGACAAACTCTATTTAAATTTCAAATTAAACATTGTTTTGACGTTTCACATTTTCATTCAAATTCAACATGCGCAATTAACACGCAATACTGCGCCTTCCATATGTTGCATCCTACATAATTCATGTATATTTATTAGAAAAAATACATTCTGGCGAACATTCGCACCATTGTCAATTGTATACGAAAAGGTTTGCTTTTTACACATTATTTAACTTAATTACACCATGTTCTAAAATATCATAAAAGTATCTAAGAAAAAAAATACATATAAAAATTTATTCGTGTAGATGAAATTTGTATTGGTCGTGGTTCTCCTGTTGTCCCTTGGTTGTATACTGAGAGCAGATGAAGCTAAAAAGGAGCCATCACGATGTCCCTGCAGCTGGTGGTGGAGAAGATGTAGCTGTGATAGGAGGGAGAGGGTGAGCATATATAGCTTGTCATATTGATTTTCGGGCATTTCAAGTTTTATTGGCTATCCAAAAATGAAATAATAAAAATCGCCAGGAAAAAAAAAAAAAAAAAAAAAACTGAACATGGTTACCATTTTCCTACTTTTAAAATTGAAAGAGGTTTTGAAGAATCTAAAAAAAAAAAATCATTTTTACTTAATATTACCTATAATGTAGGCTCTTGTTTTCACAACAGAGCACCTTTTGTATTAATTTTTCATTATATTTGTTTACAAATAAATAGAAAACGTACTGAAATAATTCGATATGTTTTTGAAGATCAATGCAATGTGGGCTTGCAAGTTTGTCTGAATGTAAATGAAAGTGTCCATTTCAGAGAAAGCACAATTTCACTTTTTAGAATATTCACCGCAAATCGAGATTTTCTTTTTCAAAATCCTTGTTATAATACAAACCTACATTAGGGCAACTCTACACAATTATTGATTACCAAATCAATTCTCTCACAAAAAGTGTTAATAAATGTTTAATTCATATTCAATTTAAGAGACAGAATTTTCATGAACCAAATTTTGTCACAGATGTGAAAAGAAAATGTTAAGTTTTCAAGTTATAACGTCATGCTTTTATTATAATACGTTTACTCAAAATATCAAACCCTAATTTCCGAGAGTTCCCAAGATCTAAAGTGTGAGAGTCGAACAGACGGTCAAAGTGATCCCTTCTTTGGTCTGCTTTTCATGTGAAACATTTATAAAGTGTCTTACAATTTAAAGATTTTAACATCACTTAAGTAGATATATATTACTTAAATGAATAAATATCATGCATGAAATAGCTGATCTAAGTTATCTTGTTCAATATTACTGTTTGATCTGAGAAGTGTTTGCTATGCAGAAATGCATTTGCTCAAAATGTACTTAGCTATGCAAAAACAAATTCAGTTATGGTTCTTTATCATAGGATTTAGCTGATAAGCCCAATGAACAGGACAGGCCAGTATGTTGAATTGAAATTGCAGTTAGAAATGAAATTTTAAATTTCTTAAAGATTTAGATGTGATATTTTTAATATCTTTCTCAGTTCCTTACAAAAGACATCCATTCTAATTTTTTGTGATTTTTTTTTTCTTAGATGGACGAAATAATTGACTCTGAGACAGCTGAATAGACCTTCCCCAAGTTTTTTTCGCAAACTATACTTTTCAACTTTTTAGAGGAAATTGTTGAAACAGAATTTGTTCAGCTATGTTTAATGATTAAACAAATTTCTTTGCCATACATGCAGATTCACCACGTATACATCTCAGCAATGATAAGGCTGCCTTGAAAGGCATTCAAAACATCATAAGATTGCGTATTCTGTTTTGATTTTAATTTGTAAGTTATGTACAAATGTACACAATTTGCATAGAATATTCTTTCAGATATATAAGAACAAATTTGTTGTGATATCACATGAGTTGGTTGATCACGCAATTCTTTTACTATCACACATAAATAGCTCTGGTGCAAATAATTAGTTTTTTTAAATTATTTGTAACATAAATAGATTTCATCGTATTCAACTTTTCTTGAAAAGTTCTTAGGAACAGGCATATCATTTTTTACGTTTTCTTTTTTTCGACGGGAAGTTTCCCTTCCTTGTACATTTTAGGGTATTTGAATTAACAGCAAAGTTACATGACATTATTCCTAAGGAAAATTCAGGTAGAAAACATACTCCTCGTCTTGATTTCTAAAAAAAGATCTTAGTTTAGTTGATCCTTACGTCGCGGGTTCGAATCCCACTGTGGGACGTGGAGACCGGTCCTTCGGATGAGACCGTATAAACGGAGGTCCCGTGTCGCATTAGGTGCTGGCACGAAAAAAGATCCCTCACTGCCCTGAGTGTCGAGTATAGCTCTCCACCGGCAAGTAGTGGCGTCTCCGTATGAGTGAAAAATTCTCGAGAGGGACGTAAAACAAACAAACAAAAAACAAAAAACAAAAACAAAATTAACAACACACATTATATGCATAGATTAGTTATCAAATTGTTTGCCTGTAATCAATTTGACAAAAAATTAGATGCCAAAATTCGAAATTTTTTCTCATAAGTTATAATTACTTGGAGACTTTCCTGGAAAAACTTAGTACCCCGTCTGTGCACATGATCTTAGAATTTATTTGCTTTGCTTTTGAGTTTTGATTTAGTTTTGATATGTCACTTAATGCATTGTAAGCTTACCAGCAAACTTTTTAAAATATTATGATTAAATCAGGATGTATACCTTGCTACTCAACCTTTTTAAACATTTCTTTTTTTTTTTTTTAAATTAATTTCGTTTTAATATCTTTCCATTTACCATTTAAGACCGTAGAATGGTCATTTTTGTATGGTATTATTTGTAATCCTGTTCTACCTTTAACCAAATTTTCGATATTTTCATGAAAATTTTAGTTTATGACTTACTTTTATTATTTACAAAATAATTGGACCATAATTAACCATAATGACCATAATTACTGTAAAATTGCATAAATAAACCGGCATACATTAGCATAAAATGAAAATAGATGTACATGAATTAATTGTATTACCTTCAGTATCATTCGGTTGTGAGTTATGGAACAATTTGAAAACAAAAGACTGGAATATTTTGAAAAGGTTTCAACATTTTATTGTAAGCTGAAATTGATAAAAGAAAACTATATTTCTTTGGAAAGGTTTGCTGCATGGATAATAATCACCTTCCGAGGCAAGTTTTTACGATACGAATGTTCGAGTATCTCAATCACAACCAAACATCAAAATTCGGTTTTGTTAGAGATCTTGTTTTTATTATCCAGAAATACTCTTCAGAAAGATTCCTTCAGACATACATAAGCAATACCAGTTTTTAATCCCAAAAATATTTGTAAAACAGGATCCGGTTGAACTGAAACAAAAACGGATAATACTGACAATATTAACATACCAGGTTATTGTACTTTCATGAAAAATAGATTTGATATAGCTAAGGTTAAATCTGGCGGGATAGTTTTAGCTGTTAAAGTAGATTTTGTTAATTTTTTTACTGTACATAATACATGTTGCCCATATGTCTACTGGTTTTCACTTGCCAAAACTTTGTTTAATCTACCAAATGACATTCTATTTGGAACTGTATATATACCCCCTGAAAATACAAAATATGCTTCAAAAGATTGTTTTCTAGAAATAGAGAGAGAATTGTTTAATCTCTCACATGACACTGAATATACATGTTTGTTAGGTGATTTTAATGCCCGTGTGGGTAAACTGCAGGACTATGTAAATGTTGATGAATTTATAGCAGATCATAATAATTGGGATGAAGAAACAAGACAAGCTATTACACATGGTAGCATTTTATGTGACACGAATATAAAACTTGATCGTTTACCTGTAGATACTACTTGCAATAATTACGGGTACAAATGCATTGAATTCTGTCAAAATAACAATGTATTTATAGCAAACGGTAGAGCTGGTGAAGATAAACTCACGTGTAGAAGTAGTAGTACAGTAGATTATGTAATATGTAGTGTATATATGTTCAAATTGCTTAAAAAATTTTATATTCATGATTTTTGTAATTTATATTCTGATGTTCATTGTCCAATAACATTTGAACTCGAAAGCCTAAAGGTAGAAACTCACTCAACCGATCAACCGTGTGACGAAAACAATAACAAACAGTATAAATGGAACCCGGAAAAATCTGAACAATTCAAAGAAAACATTGAATTTGATAAATTGAAAGAATTACAGACAGAAGTTTTACAACTTAGAGAAAATCTTGATACTGTCCAAAATAGCGATATAAACAACATTTCTAGTAAATTGTGTAGTCTATTTCTATCTACTGCAGAAATTACACTAGATGTGAAAAACAAATCAAAACTAAAAAATAATCATAAAGTTAATAGACCATGGTACAATGCGACATGCCGCACTGCAAGAAGAACATTTCATTTGGCTAAACGTCTTCACAACAAACACAAAACCCCGGAGAACTCCGAAAATCTTAAGATTACAAGTAAAGAATACAAGAAAACAATGGATAAATGTATTAAAGAACATTCTTTATCTATAACGTCAAAACTAGAAAATCTACAGAAAAGTGATATTAAGGAATATTGGAGAATTTTAAATAGTTCGAAGGCTAGATGTAAAACTGTAGTTGATATCAAAGCAATGTACGATTTTTAAAAAAAAAAATAATGAATCTAAAGATGATGAAGGTGATGTAGATGATAATGATGTCAATCTCGATAATAACTCCCCTTTAAATTGTCAAATCTCTGCAGAAGAAATCTTGCAAGCAGTTAACAAACTGAAAAATAATAAAGCCCCAGGGTATGATCAAATCTGTAACGAATATATAAGTACAACGATATCATGCTTTTTGCCACTATATGTTGACCTTTTTAATTTGATTTTTGATACTGGTTTTGTACCTGAGGAATGGTTTATTTGTATCGTTAAGCCAATATATAAAAACAAGGGAGACCCAACTCTTCCTGAAAACTATAGACCAATAACACTATTAAGCTGTTTAGGAAAAGTATTTACCAGTATTTTATGTGAACGTTTGAATATTTTTGCTGATGAGTTAGAATTGATTACTGAAGCCCAAGCTGGCTTTAGAAAAGGTTATGGTACAATAGATAACATACTGATATTAGATTTTTTGTGTAAATTTGTTTCTTTTAGTAAGAAAAAATTGTATTGTGCATTTATTGATTTTAAACAGGCCTTTGATACTGTTTGGCGATCTGGTTTGTGGTCCAAAGTGTTTAAAAGTGGTATAGATGGTAAATGTCTAAGATTTATCAAAAATATGTACAGTGGTATTAAATCGAAGATATATATTGATCAAAATATCTCTGAATTTTTCACGTGTAACCTTGGAGTAAGACAAGGGGAAAATTTATCCCCATTTCTTTTTACTTTATATATTAACGATTTAGAAAACTATTTATTGCAGAATAATATTGAAGGGGTTACGAGCTTTAGTGAAACATTAGAAATTGAAATACAGATTATGTTTAAACTATTTATACTTTTTTATGCTGATGATACAGTTTTATTATCTGATAATCCAGAGGATTTACAAAGATCACTGAATATTTTCTCTGATTATTGTGACCATTGGAAGCTTCAAGTAAATACAGACAAGACTAAAATAGTAATTTTTTCTAGAGGAAGAATACCAAAGAAAATATTTTTGTATAGAGGTGCACCAATTGAAATTGTGAACGAATTTAAATACTTAGGTGTTATCATGTCCCGTAATGGTTTTTTCAGAAGTGCCAAAACACATTTAACTAAACAAGCATCAAAAGCCATGTATGGAGTACTTAGAAAAATAAGGTATTTTAATTTGCCAGTAGGTTGTCAAATAGATCTCTTTGACAGAGTTATAAGCCCAATTTTGATGTACGGGTGTGAAGTATGGGGCTACGAAAATATAGATATTTTAGAAAAGGTACACTTAAAATTTCTGAAATTTGTTTTACATGTGAAATCCAGCACTCCAAATTGTATGGTATATGGGGAAACTGGGCGATACCCTTTAATAATACGTATGAAGGTACGAATGATTACTTATTGGGCTAAACTTTTGATGTCACATGAACGTAAGATTACATATATAATGTATTGCTTTCTCCATAAATGCTTTTCTGAAGGTTTATTTATGCATCCATGGTTGAAATGTATAAAAGATATTTTGAATTCATGTGGTCTCTCTTATGTGTGGATGAATCAAAATTTTTCTAGTATTTCATGGTTAAAATCTATTGTGAAAGAAACATTGTTAAGTCAATTTTTACAAGACTGGCATATGAGCATAGAAAATTCACCTAAATGTTTAAATTACAGGATTTTTAAAAACAATTTTGGACGAGAAATGTACCTAAGTAAACTCCCAAAAGATTTAAGAATTATATTGACAAAATTTAGAATTTGTAACCACAAACTTCCAATTGAAGCTGGTAGATGGATTAATACTGATAGATCTTTAAGAATATGTAATTTATGTAATAAAATACTTTAGGCGATGAATTCCATTATGTAATGGAGTGTCCATACTTTTCCTCATTACGTATAAAACTTATTGATAAGAAGTATTGTTTTCATGTAAATGTTTATAATTTTGAGAATCTTATGTCCACCACAAATGTTGACTCACTGATAAAGCTGTCTTTGTTTGTTAAAAAGATATTGGTCATTTTTCAGTAATACTTTGTCATTTCATACTACTCTTCCTTACTTGACTTTGTATTTTGTATATATGTAAATATGTTCATGTACCTCATATACCATCGTATGGTCTGAGAGAAATAAACAAACAAATCAATATTCAATGAATCATTAAAGTTTCATTAAACTGATCATTTTAATGTGTAATTAAATTCCGTTGTATCAATGTCTTAATGAACAAATCGATGCATTAAAATTTCATTAATTTCTCAAATTTCAATGAAGCCAAGAGGGCTTCTTTAAACGCTCATTAACAATGGCGGCCAACGTGACGTTTGGTCAGTTGGGTAGAAGAAGAGCGGATATGGTTTTTAGAGAACGTTTTTCTGTACAAAACACGAGTGACGAGGAAATTCGGAGGCGGTATCCGAGTATCGATTTGGAAAGGAATCAATAAAACAAATCGTGGATTTACTTGATCCAATAATCGGCCATTGGACTAGAAGGTCGCAGACTTTGTCAACAGAATTACAGGTACACTCTACTTAGCTGATTAAAAAAACTTACTTTGTCATGTACTGTCCATACGAAAACAGTCAAAAAACACCACAACCCCCCTTCCCTTGTTTTGTTTTTTGTTTTGTTTTGTTTTGTTTTTTTTTTTTTGTTTTTTTTTTTTTTTGTTTTTTTGTTTTTTTGTTGTTTTTTTTTTCTTAGTTGATTACGTCACATATTGCGTCACCTTGGTGGCGGATCCTGACAATATTTACCCATATAGGACAAGAATAATTAATAATTATTATACATGAACATGATACATGATTATACATACATACATCTCATATTATTTGAATAATCTTGTTTGATCATACAAAGCTGAACTGTTACGAAATTCTTAAGTGATTCTAAAATATTAGAGTTGTTCCCCTTTCTGCATATCATGTAAGCATGTCACAGGTGCTTGGAAACTGACTATCCGCAACTATATGCTAGTATTATTATTATTATTTTTTTTTTTTTTTTTGGGGGGGGGGGGTGTCTATATATGTCCTTGTACATGTATAAAACACCAACCGACTGTGTCTGGGTTATCAAAGGCCAGCCGAATGTAAAAATATTCCGTTTTAAAATTAAAATGCTGTGGCTGTTTTGTGATACATTTAGAGGAGAGTCGTCTTCGGGGTGGGCAGCGTTTTGTATTATTTGAATCATTTAAAATCTTTCCTCTAAGATTTATTTGACAACTTATGTAATATCTTGATTTATTCGCCATCATTATGGAAATATGCCGTATTAATGAGGTTTATTTATTTATTCAATGTATGAAAAATGGTGAAGGCCCACATTAATAAAATACATGTATGTAACATAAATAACAAAAAAAAAATGAACTAATATACCTGATATGCATAAGATTAAGTTTACATAAAAATATGCAATTTCTACAATAGTAATTTTATCAGATTTCATTGTTAATATTGTAGGTCTTCACCATTTTTCGTAAATTGAATAAATTAATCAACCTCATTAATCCTGCGTGTTTCATTATCAATTAATTGAATTTTGGCTGAATTAATTATTTTTTTTCTTCATTAAGTTATTCATACATTCATTCTTTATTTCCTCCATTCATTCTTTATTTCCTCCATATGGAGATATATGAAATATAAATGGACATACAATTAAATAAATATCACAAACATTACATTTAAACAGACAAAAACATACAAAATTGAATATAGAAAAACATATTTACATATTTACAAAACCCTTTGAGGGGAGAGTGGAATTAACGAAAAAAGAAAATAATAATGAGAGGGGAAAACGGAGAAGAAAAAAAAAGTATCATGGTGTGTCTGACAGCGTTAGGGAAGCGATAACCGACGAAGAGCCCTGTAGTAATGTGCGGCTGCGCTTCGGACAAGATTGAAATTCAATAAGCGAAAAGCTTCATTGTCTGTTTCATAACTTGTATGGCGTCCCAGCAGGACTAAAAACAATTCATTTTCTGTTAAAGCGCATAATTCTGCACCTAGACTATGTCAAAGCAGAAACTGAATTTGGTTTAAATATTATGAACTTTGAACCTAAATTAAGTTTTTTAAAAATCAAAACTAATGTTTTAACTACTCGGGTTATTTATTTAGTTATCGACAAAAGTGACTTTAAAAAAAAATCAAAATTTAATATTTTACTATTTCTTTCAATTCCTATCACAATTTCTTCCGCTCACTGTTAGAAATGTCGGATTGAAAAAAAAAAATTCGGACCAGAACACAGGAAGTTGGTCTATAGTTCATGGCATTAGAAAAAATCGGGGAACTAAAAATTATCTTAACTAATTAAAACATAAACTGAAATACATGTATATTAATAATAGTCATATCTTTTCTAATACGTATACACTTTAAATTGATATGACATGCATGTATACGTCTGTAAAAAACACAACAAAAAACTTGCCTAATACTGACTTTTCCTATTTTTCCCTTAAGGTAGGCCCCTCTCGAAATTTTCTTGGATATAGCAATGTTTTCTTTCTTTGAATCATTAGAATAACATCTTAGGTAATTTAAAAGCCAATAAAATAAATTGTTCGACTGGGGGGGGGGGGGGGTTTTCTGACTAAAATTATCATAAAGACATATACCACTTTATTTTAAATCTTTAGGTCCTCATTTCTTTGCAATATTACGCTAGTGGGAGTTTTGAAGTCGTCGGAGATACTGTTGGAGTGAACAAGTCAACCGTCTCGAGAGTTGTCCGTTAAGTTTCTAGAGCCCTTGTTTCCCTGGCTCACCGATTTATCAGATGGCCTGCCGATGACGAACTTACCATCATCAAAAACGAATTTTTCAATTTAGCTGGATTCCCGGGTATCATAGGTTGCATAGATGGCACCCATGTACGAATCCAAACCCCCTCTCAAAATGAACCAGCGTATGTTAATAGGAAAGGCTTCCACTCAGTAAATGTACAGGCGATTTGTGATTATACAGGAGAGAGAGAGAGAGAGAGAGAGAGAGAGAGAGAGATTTTCTTCGATATTCTGAAATCCCAACTCCTGATATATTTTACTTCAAAACGAGAACATATTTTTCAGGCAGATTTACCAACATCGTAGCTAGATGGCCCGGAAGTACACATGACAGTCATATATTCCGTATGTCAGGAATAAGACAAACTATAGAAGAGAAGTTTCACTCGATTAAGGATGGGGTTGTTCTTGGTGACAGCGGTTACGCATGTAAACCTTATCTCATATCCCCGTATCAGAGACCATCGACACCAGCTCCGGAACGCTTTAACTCGGCCCATTCCAAGACCAGGGTGACAATTGAGCGTGCATTTGATTGGTGGAAGAGGCGTTTTCACGTCCTCCATGCTGAAATAGTGATGACACCGGAGAGGGTCTGGACAGTCATAGGTACAAGGCTTAGACTGATGTAGTTAATAGGCTTAGTAACATATTCATTTAGTATTCACAAGTAATTTTATTTGCATGTGCTAGGTACCTGCTGTGTGAACTTATATGTTTTGATTTCAGGAGGATGTGCTGTACTTCACAATCTTGCTATTTCATTCCGGGAGCCACTTGCAGACGAAGATCAAGACTTGGACGTCGATGGGAATATTCAAGGGCAGTACAACGGACCCGAGGATGGGAAAAACATAAGAAATTATATCAAACAACATTATTTTTAAGAACTTGCATTTATTTTATGTGTACCAATGGAAACAGTTAAGGCGTTTATTGGTATACACTGGTATAGTTATTGTATTTTATTCATAAATTGTATTTCATTTCTATATTGTACAAACACTTTAAGTGCGCTTAACATAGTTGTTTTCAAATTCATAAAGTTATACTTGTAGTAATATAGGTTAGAAGAAAAACCCACGAATATGAGAAAAAATGAAAAAAAGAAACAGTTAATCATCAGAAGACATATCCAACTCCCGTCTAAGCTTTTTGTCCATCAACCTATAGTACACCGTTTGCTCCCATAATTTCTGTTGTCGTTCCGCCAGCACTGCGTACTGCATTTGAGTCACGTCTTCAGGTCTTACCTTCTTGCGCTGTCCTATATTCTCCACTTTTTTTTTTTTTGGACTTATAATGTATGTGTTTATAAGTTACTATTGATGCAGGATCGAACTTTGGAGCTTATTGACATTCCATAGATTTAAACTTGTTAACTAAGCGATGTGTGCAATCATGAATTTCTATTTTATCCTATTATATTATATAATATATGTTATAACCTATTTACATGTAAAATTTTACATTAGCACATGTAGGTTACTATACGTCGATAGGTAAGTGTAAACACTTTAAATGCAGAACTATACTTAAATTTCGCCAATTTGAATGGTGATAGCAGATTCTCTTCAGGAAGAGACACATTTTGAATTTGATGTAATAAGTATATTGATTATTTATTGAATTAAAAGATATTTATGCACGTCTATATCAACAATTTATTTATTTCTGAACTATAATTACATGTTTGGCACCATGCTTGTCGTCGCTGTAGTTGTTGGTTTTTCTGTTGCGGTTACCTCTGTCGCCGCAGTTACATGTACCTCTGTCGCCACGGTGACCACATTCTGCGCAAGATCAGACTCATCGACGACCTGCTCTCCTTCATTGCTCGGAATGAGCAATTCCGTTAGCATGCACATAGTTTGGAGTGAGCCCAAGGTACTTATGTTGCTTTCGTCTGTTTATAAAAAAAAAAAATAATAATGCATTTTTTGTTTTAATTCTCTGGTGCCCATCACCCTGTAAATACAAATTTTAAATTTTACAAAGTCCCTGGAGGGATCTGTAGACTGTGGAGGGTGGAGGGGGGTGATTTTCAGAGTAAACAAAAAATAACCTAAGACCCCTCCCCCAATTGGAAACACAAGCTCCTCTTAATACTGTAAGAAAAGACTTGGAAAATAGACTTATGTGTCTACACCCCCCTTCCCCATTAAATAAGGTTTTAAGTTTTGTGCAAGCTGCTATGTTCAGCTTTTGGGGGTTTTGTGTATGTTTGTTTGTTGTATGCTTGTCAAAAATGTCCAAGTCTTACTTTCGTTACAGCTGATGTGAACTGTAACCCCCCGAAAAAAAAATCATGGATATGACTTTTAAAGTTGTCAAAATTCACACCCATGTACAAAAAATTCTATAATTAGATAAAAAAAAAATCATGACAAAACCTTTAAATGAAATAAGATAGACCACCAACTCAAATGAAGTAACCATCCGCGGTTTTCATAAAAATAAGGACACGACACTTTTGACTGTCCATCACAGTAACTTTTTTACAAAAGGTGGCGTTGTTAGTACAGTGACGTCATTTCGTGAATAAATGTTGAAGGACTGTATTATATTTATTCTGCCTATTTATGGATTTAACGAAGGGATTCTTGTGATTTGCTGTTGGGAAGATTTAAATGAAACTTAACGAGATAAATGATTAATGATTTAACATACAGGCGGCATGTAAAGGCGTTGGTTGTGATATCTACTGCTGTAATCATACTGTAATCAATCCCAGACCAAGGGAGAAAACTCGTTTTAGTGTATTAAGGGGATGACCACTTGATTCGGGGGGGGGGGGGGGTGTCTGGCAAATTTCACAGAGTCAGATTATTTATTTTCAGTAAAGGAGAAAGGCCTCAAACTGTCCATTCTGTGAGAGAAAGAACTAATCGAGGGCCGTAAAACTAATCGAGGGCCGTAGGCCCGAGATTAGTTCTTTCTCTACAGAATGGACAGTTTAAGGCCTTTCTTCTACTTAAAACATGATTTCCTTTGTTCTAAGAATTATTAAAAAATGTACAATACTGGTATCAGATATGACAGGTAGCACACATACAAGTTCATTGTTTACAGAATGGACAGTCACAGGTAAGCTGGGATGCAGAGTAATTTGTTGAATAGTCCTTGTGTTTTCAAATGCGAATAGCAAAAGTTTTTTGTCTATAGAATGGACAGTTACAGGTGGATTTTGGGGGATACTAGTATTTATACAAGGATGCGATGCTTCAAAATCAGTTTATAGTTTGCGTTGTAAAGGCATGCATGTTTTCCTCCGATGGAGAGAGTATATGACAGAATCAAAATCTAATGAACTAAAAGATGCACAAAATCAGTGATAGTTGGACCTGGGAACAGAGAATAGTAAAAGAAAATATAAGCTAAAATTTTACCCCAAAATGAATTTCTTCTTCGACAGATAATCAAATTCGAATCAAATCTGGAAATGTTTTAATTCAAATCAATTTTTGAGGATATATTGACTGCTGCAATGTAATGGTGAGATGCAAATTGTGTTCTGAGTGTTGGATTAGCCACGAGCAAAAAACTTCGACCTGAAAATATATATTTCAAATCAAATCTGGAAATGTTTTAAATATTTTCTATGGAAGCAGTGTAGTGCAAACTGTTTTCTGGGTGGTGGATTTAGTATTAGCCGTACTTTATTTTTTAAAATGGATTCTTCTCAAGGGAATGATGTTTTCGAAATTTAAATCAAATGTGAAATTGTGTCATTTAAATTCAAGTTTTATGAAAATTGAGTTTTGAGTATTGAAATAATGGGCATTATTCATGGATTTAAAAGTGTAAAATCGAGCAGGTGCTGTGCAGGCATTGTGTTCTGGATTAACTAAATAAGATCTCTACGTTCTTTTTGTTATTTACATGTAAATCAAATCGTATTTAATGTATTTGTTTTTGTTTCCTCTTGGGCACATTCCAAAGTTTACCTGTTACTCTCCATTCTGTTTGTTTTAACTGTCCAATCCTTTTGAAAAAAGAATGTAACTGTCCAATCCTTTCTTAAAAAGAATGTACAGTTTTCCAAAAAGAATGGACACTTACAGGTGAATTAATGGATTGTTTGGGGAGTTAGCTCAATATTAACCTATAGAATGGATAAAACAGACAAAAGATTTACGTCACAATCATGTTTTAACGTCGGTGAAGGACAGATTATTTATTTCCGAGAAGATGGAGGCCAGGTATTTTTTTTTTCTTCTTCACTTCAAAAAGTCTGACGAAAAGCAAAGAAAAAAAAAAAAACAACAACAACAACAAAAACAAAGTCCAAAACTTTATTACCTTGGGGGGGGGGGGGGGGGCGCTCTATTTTTTGCGATATTACTAGCAATCGTAGACTCGAGGACAAGTTATTTATTTTCTTGCCCAGTTGAGGACAGATTTTATTTATTTTAAACATTTTCGAGGACGGATTATTTATTTCCAAAGTCTGCCAGCCCTCCCCCCTTTCCCCCGAATCAAATGGTCGTTTCTTAATTGACCCCTCCCCATAATTTGTAATGAAATGTATCCATGTATGTACTAAATAGTTGTCTACCACTGCGTCTACTTTACTTGAATGAATCTAAACATAATCTATCTGTTATATAATACGTTAAGACGTATTGCAAATTAACAATAATTGAAATTCAATACATTTTTTCATCGACATGCCTGCTTTAACTTAAACTTTCCAAGTGATTGTGTCTCAAGCCCAGACAATCCATTGAATGTCGGCGAATCTTTATATAAGTCGACAATCTTCTGAAAGTAGATAGAGGCTTAGTGGAGGGGCCTCCTCCTGTCTTTCTTTGGGAAATTTTGTTGAGGCTGAACTCTTTCTTCGCCGCTTGGTGCATGTTTGTCCATTTAGTTTTTATTTCTTTTGTGGAACGGCTTGCGATCCCCAAAGAGTTTATTTGCGTCGTGATGTTCTCCTAGTTTTTTTTCTTTTCGTTTGTTATACTGTTGGTCAATTTACTGTTGAGGATATTAATATCTTTCTCCACTTATTCCGTCAATAACTGAATCTTTGTTGTGTCTAAATTTTTGCCACGGTTTCTAATCGACTTAGACTGCTGTTCTTCTGTCACCGTTAGATTTATGTTATTTCCTTCAAGACGCTCACAGAATTGATAAAATGACGTAATTTAGTTTTTGGCGTCATAATTAAAAACAGCGACCATTTTGGTGGATTTTTAATTGGACTCTTTTATTAAATAATTGGAATATGTTAAACAAAGGAAACGCCCATGAAAACGCCACCGGAAGTGGTAACGCATTGCATTGCGGGATATTCCTCTATTGTTGATAGATCTTTAATGAATTCCTAAATATTTAATGATCCATTTACTAATAAGACTCTAATAAAGGTTTTGTACAACATGTTTTAATTGTAAACCTATAGGGTTTGAGACAATTATTTTAATCAGAAAATAAACATATTAAACTATTTACAATGTACTTAAGATAGAGTGCATTGACCTATAATCCAATCGGGATATGAAAGTGTAAGACTTTTCCGTAGGAAAAAACAAACCTGGTAATCGGATTAAGGACAATGTAAGCTACCAGGATGTTTATCTATCTTGGGAAGTCGATACAGGAACAGTAACGGAGCATTGCTAAAAATGATCTTAACATTATATTAACTTTTGCACAATACTGGGACGTTGGACTGAAGCTTATTAAAGTTTATGTTTCAATTACAATTTATTTTATAAAATTCCAGGATTTTGTACAGATTTATTGAATAACTTGTTTACTTGAATCTGATTTGTCTATTTCATACGTAAATGAGTATTATGTATTGTACATTATAAAATACGATCTACGGCGCACTTCGGGAGAGCCACTATATGATCAGCTATACGACTCACAACTTCCA